TTTGCTTTACATTATCAGTGCATATATGTGGGTATGTAAACTGCTTAGAATTTAAAGCTTACTTGTTTCACATGTAGTCCCTTCGTAGCCAGGATCACAATCGCACGTAAAGCTGTTAACTCCATCATTACAAGTTCCTGTACTCGCGCAAGAAGTAGTAGTACAATCGTCGGTATCTGTGCAAATTGAGTTCAAAAGACAAGGAGTCGTATTAAAACAATGATCAAACTAATCTCCATGTTGACATACTTATATTTATTTCACAGATAACAGGTCGATCTAGTCAAAACTGGTAACTTAAATAAGACTAATGACAATGAAGGATAGAGTTACTTCATTTGTAAAACTATCGATAAATAAATCTATCAAAGTAAAAGGGAGTGAAAAACTCTTGTAATGTTTGAATCTTTTCCAAAATCGTGGCCTATGAAAAAAACTTATTTCTTGAAAAATATCATAAACTCATCAATATTAATGGGCACCTGACCGATGAAAAAGATCAGAAAGCAAGTGATTTTCAATTTCTGCTGAAACCAATGTGATAATGAATGAGAGTTTACATATACATGGTGTGCGTCTCAATACACCTTAGCGCTAAAATTGAATTCGCTATCATCTCAATGAAATATGTCAGTCTAAATGTATCCTAAAACAGTTCTTTATTAATAGAGATCGCTGTACTTTCACGTCCATGGTGACTCTCAGGTAAGAGAAACATCCAAAATTTCCCTAACAGTCACTAGAATTTTTTTTTTTTATGTTTCCTTGTTTGCTTTGTACCTAAAATTTCTCGATGAGCAACGAGTAAGAACCTCATTGAATTTTGCTTTACATTATCAGTGCATATATGTGGGTATGTAAACTGCTTAGAATTTAAAGCTTACTTGTTTCACAAGTAGTCCCTTCGTAGCCAGGATCACAATCGCACGTAAAGCTGTTAACTCCATCATTACAAGTTCCTGTACTCGCGCAAGAAGTAGTAGTACAATCGTCGGTATCTGTGCAAATTGAGTTCAAAAGACAAGGAGTCGTATTAAAACAATGATCAAACTAATCTCCATGTTGACATACTTATATTTATTTCACAGATAACAGGTCGATCTAGTCAAAACTGGTAACTTAAATAAGACTAATGACAATGAAGGATAGAGTTACTTCATTTGTAAAACTATCGATAAATAAATCTATCAAAGTAAAAGGGAGTGAAAAACTCTTGTAATGTTTGAATCTTTTCCAAAATCGTGGCCTATGAAAAAAACTTATTTCTTGAAAAATATCGTTAACTCATCAATATTAATGGGCACCTGACCGATGAAAAAGATCAGAAAGCAAGTGATTTTCAATTTCTGCTGAAACCAATGTGATAATGAATGAGAGTTTACATATACATGGTGTGCGTCTCAATACACCTTAGCGCTAAAATTGAATTCGCTATCATCTCAATGAAATATGTCAGTCTAAATGTATCCTAAAACAGTTCTTTATTAATAGAGATCGCTGTACTTTCACGTCCATGGTGACTCTCAGGTAAGAGAAACATCCAAAATTTCCCTAACAGTCACTAGAATTTTTTTTTTTTTATGTTTCCTTGTTTGCTTTGTACCTAAAATTTCTCGATGAGCAACGAGTAAGAACCTCATTGAATTTTGCTTTACATTATCAGTGCATATATGTGGGTATGTAAACTGCTTAGAATTTAAAGCTTACTTGTTTCACAGGTAGTCCCTTCGTAGCCAGGATCACAATCGCACGTAAAGCTGTTAACTCCATCATTACAAGTTCCTGTACTCGCGCAAGAAGTAGTAGTACAATCGTCGGTATCTGTGCAAATTGAGTTCAAAAGACAAGGAGTCGTATTAAAACAATGATCAAACTAATCTCCATGTTGACATACTTATATTTATTTCACAGATAACAGGTCGATCTAGTCAAAACTGGTAACTTAAATAAGACTAATGACAATGAAGAATAGAGTTACTTCATTTGTAAAACTATCGATAAATAAATCTATCAAAGTAAAAGGGAGTGAAAAACTCTTGTAATGTTTGAATCTTTTCCAAAATCGTGGCCTATGAAAAAAACTTATTTCTTGAAAAATATCATAAACTCATCAATATTAATGGGCACCTGACCGATGAAAAAGATCAGAAAGCAAGTGATTTTCAATTTCTGCTGAAACCAATGTGATAATGAATGAGAGTTTACTTATACATGGTGTGCGTCTCAATACACCTTAGCGCTAAAATTGAATTCGCTATCATCTCAATGAAATATGTCAGTCTAAATGTATCCTAAAACAGTTCTTTATTAATAGAGATCGCTGTACTTTCACGTCCATGGTGACTCTCAGGTAAGAGAAACATCCAAAATTTCCCTAACAGTCACTAGAATTTTTTTTTTTTTATGTTTCCTTGTTTGCTTTTTCCCTAAAATTTCTCGATGAGCAACGAGTAAGAACCTCATTGAATTTTGCTTTACATTATCAGTGCATATATGTGGGTATGTAAACTGCTTAGAATTTAAAGCTTACTTGTTTCACAAGTAGTCCCTTCGTAGCCAGGATCACAATCGCACGTAAAGCTGTTAACTCCATCATTACAAGTTCCTGTACTCGCGCAAGAAGTAGTAGTACAATCGTCGGTATCTGTGCAAATTGAGTTCAAAAGACAAGGAGTCGTATTAAAACAATGATCAAACTAATCTCCATGTTGACATACTTATATTTATTTCACAGATAACAGGTCGATCTAGTCAAAACTGGTAACTTAAATAAGACTAATGACAATGAAGGATAGAGTTACTTCATTTGTAAAACTATCGATAAATAAATCTATCAAAGTAAAAGGGAGTGAAAAACTCTTGTAATGTTTGAATCTTTTCCAAAATCGTGGCCTATGAAAAAAACTTATTTCTTGAGAAATATCGTTAACTCATCAATATTAATGGGCACCTGACCGATGAAAAAGATCAGAAAGCAAGTGATTTTCAATTTCTGCTGAAACCAATGTGATAATGAATGAGAGTTTACATATACATGGTGTGCGTCTCAATACACCTTAGCGCTAAAATTGAATTCGCTATCATCTCAATGAAATATGTCAGTCTAAATGTATCCTAAAACAGTTCTTTATTAATAGAGATCGCTGTAATTTCACGTCCATGGTGACTCTCAGGTAAGAGAAACATCCAAAATTTCCCTAACAGTCACTAGAATTTTTTTTTTTTATGTTTCCTTGTTTGCTTTGTACCTAAAATTTCTCGATGAGCAACGAGTAAGAACCTCATTGAATTTTGCTTTACATTATCAGTGCATATATGTGGGTATGTAAACTGCTTAGAATTTAAAGCTTACTTGTTTCACAGGTAGTCCCTTCGTAGCCAGGATCACAATCGCACGTAAAGCTGTTAACTCCATCATTACAAGTTCCTGTACTCGCGCAAGAAGTACTAGTACAATCGTCGGTATCTGTGCAAATTGAGTTCAAAAGACAAGGAGTCGTATTAAAACAATGATCAAACTAATCTCCATGTTGACATACTTATATTTATTTCACAGATAACAGGTCGATCTAGTCAAAACTGGTAACTTAAATAAGACTAATGACAATGAAGGATAGAGTTACTTCATTTGTAAAACTATCGATAAATAAATCTATCAAAGTAAAAGGGAGTGAAAAACTCTTGTAATGTTTGAATCTTTTCCAAAATCGTGGCCTATGAAAAAAACTTATTTCTTGAAAAATATCGTTAACTCATCAATATTAATGGGCACCTGACCGATGAAAAAGATCAGAAAGCAAGTGATTTTCAATTTCTGCTGAAACCAATGTGATAATGAATGAGAGTTTACATATACATGGTGTGCGTCTCAATACACCTTAGCGCTAAAATTGAATTCGCTATCATCTCAATGAAATATGTCAGTCTAAATGTATCCTAAAACAGTTCTTTATTAATAGAGATCGCTGTCCTTTCACGTCCATGGTGACTCTCAGGTAAGAGAAACATCCAAAATTTCCCTAACAGTCACTAGAATTTTTTTTTTTTATGTTTCCTTGTTTGCTTTGTACCTAAAATTTCTCGATGAGCAACGAGTAAGAACCTCATTGAATTTTGCTTTACATTATCAGTGCATATATGTGGGTATGTAAACTGCTTAGAATTTAAAGCTTACTTGTTTCACAAGTAGTCCCTTCGTAGCCAGGATCACAATCGCACGTAAAGCTGTTAACTCCATCATTACAAGTTCCTGTACTCGCGCAAGAAGTAGTAGTACAATCGTCGGTATCTGTGCAAATTGAGTTCAAAAGACAAGGAGTCGTATTAAAACAATGATCAAACTAATCTCCATGTTGACATACTTATATTTATTTCACAGATAACAGGTCGATCTAGTCAAAACTGGTAACTTAAATAAGACTAATTACAATGAAGAATAGAGTTACTTCATTTGTAAAACTATCGATAAATAAATCTATCAAAGTAAAAGGGAGTGAAAAACTCTTGTAATGTTTGAATCTTTTCCAAAATCGTGGCCTATGAAAAAAACTTATTTCTTGAAAAATATCATAAACTCATCAATATTAATGGGCACCTGACCGATGAAAAAGATCAGAAAGCAGTTGATTTTCAATTTCTGCTGAAACCAATGTGATAATGAATGAGAGTTTACTTATACATGGTGTGCGTCTCAATACACCTTAGCGCTAAAATTGAATTCGCTATCATCTCAATGAAATATGTCAGTCTAAATGTATCCTAAAACAGTTCTTTATTAATAGAGATCGCTGTACTTTCACGTCCATGGTGACTCTCAGGTAAGAGAAACATCCAAAATTTCCCTAACAGTCACTAGAATTTTTTTTTTTTTATGTTTCCTTGTTTGCTTTTTCCCTAAAATTTCTCGATGAGCAACGAGTAAGAACCTCATTGAATTTTGCTTTACATTATCAGTGCATATATGTGGGTATGTAAACTGCTTAGAATTTAAAGCTTACTTGTTTCACAAGTAGTCCCTTCGTAGCCAGGATCACAATCGCACGTAAAGCTGTTAACTCCATCATTACAAGTTCCTGTACTCGCGCAAGAAGTAGTAGTACAATCGTCGGTATCTGTGCAAATTGAGTTCAAAAGACAAGGAGTCGTATTAAAACAATGATCAAACTAATCTCCATGTTGACATACTTATATTTATTTCACAGATAACAGGTCGATCTAGTCAAAACTGGTAACTTAAATAAGACTAATGACAATGAAGGATAGAGTTACTTCATTTGTAAAACTATCGATAAATAAATCTATCAAAGTAAAAGGGAGTGAAAAACTCTTGTAATGTTTGAATCTTTTCCAAAATCGTGGCCTATGAAAAAAACTTATTTCTTGAGAAATATCGTTAACTCATCAATATTAATGGGCACCTGACCGATGAAAAAGATCAGAAAGCAAGTGATTTTCAATTTCTGCTGAAACCAATGTGATAATGAATGAGAGTTTACATATACATGGTGTGCGTCTCAATACACCTTAGCGCTAAAATTGAATTCGCTATCATCTCAATGAAATATGTCAGTCTAAATGTATCCTAAAACAGTTCTTTATTAATAGAGATCGCTGTAATTTCACGTCCATGGTGACTCTCAGGTAAGAGAAACATCCAAAATTTCCCTAACAGTCACTAGAATTTTTTTTTTTTTATGTTTCCTTGTTTGCTTTGTACCTAAAATTTCTCGATGAGCAACGAGTAAGAACCTCATTGAATTTTGCTTTACATTATCAGTGCATATATGTGGGTATGTAAACTGCTTAGAATTTAAAGCTTACTTGTTTCACAGGTAGTCCCTTCGTAGCCAGGATCACAATCGCACGTAAAGCTGTTAACTCCATCATTACAAGTTCCTGTACTCGCGCAAGAAGTAGTAGTACAATCGTCGGTATCTGTGCAAATTGAGTTCAAAAGACAAGGAGTCGTATTAAAACAATGATCAAACTAATCTCCATGTTGACATACTTATATTTATTTCACAGATAACAGGTCGATCTAGTCAAAACTGGTAACTTAAATAAGACTAATGACAATGAAGGATAGAGTTACTTCATTTGTAAAACTATCGATAAATAAATCTATCAAAGTAAAAGGGAGTGAAAAACTCTTGTAATGTTTGAATCTTTTCCAAAATCGTGGCCTATGAAAAAAACTTATTTCTTGAGAAATATCGTTAACTCATCAATATTAATGGGCACCTGACCGATGAAAAAGATCAGAAAGCAAGTGATTTTCAATTTCTGCTGAAACCAATGTGATAATGAATGAGAGTTTACATATACATGGTGTGCGTCTCAATACACCTTAGCGCTAAAATTGAATTCGCTATCATCTCAATGAAATATGTCAGTCTAAATGTATCCTAAAACAGTTCTTTATTAATAGAGATCGCTGTCCTTTCACGTCCATGGTGACTCTCAGGTAAGAGAAACATCCAAAATTTCCCTAACAGTCACTAGAATTTTTTTTTTTTATGTTTCCTCGTTTGCTTTGTACCTAAAATTTCTCGATGAGCAACGAGTAAGAACCTCATTGAATTTTGCTTTACATTATCAGTGCATATATGTGGGTATGTAAACTGCTTAGAATTTAAAGCTTACTTGTTTCACAGGTAGTCCCTTCGTAGCCAGGATCACAATCGCACGTAAAGCTGTTAACTCCATCATTACAAGTTCCTGTACTCGCGCAAGAAGTAGTAGTACAATCGTCGGTATCTGTGCAAATTGAGTTCAAAAGACAAGGAGTCGTATTAAAACAATGATCAAACTAATCTCCATGTTGACATACTTATATTTATTTCACAGATAACAGGTCGATCTAGTCAAAACTGGTAACTTAAATAAGACTAATGACAATGAAGAATAGAGTTACTTCATTTGTAAAACTATCGATAAATAAATCTATCAAAGTAAAAGGGAGTGAAAAACTCTTGTAATGTTTGAATCTTTTCCAAAATCGTGGCCTATGAAAAAAACTTATTTCTTGAGAAATATCGTTAACTCATCAATATTAATGGGCACCTGACCGATGAAAAAGATCAGAAAGCAAGTGATTTTCAATTTCTGCTGAAACCAATGTGATAATGAATGAGAGTTTACATATACATGGTGTGCGTCTCAATACACCTTAGCGCTAAAATTGAATTCGCTATCATCTCAATGAAATATGTCAGTCTAAATGTATCCTAAAACAGTTCTTTATTAATAGAGATCGCTGTCCTTTCACGTCCATGGTGACTCTCAGGTAAGAGAAACATCAAAAATTTCCCTAACAGTCACTAGAATTTTTTTTTTTTATGTTTCCTTGTTTGCTTTGTACCTAAAATTTCTCGATGAGCAACGAGTAAGAACCTCATTGAATTTTGCTTTACATTATCAGTGCATATATGTGGGTATGTAAACTGCTTAGAATTTAAAGCTTACTTGTTTCACAGGTAGTCCCTTCGTAGCCAGGATCACAATCGCACGTAAAGCTGTTAACTCCATCATTACAAGTTCCTGTACTCGCGCAAGAAGTAGTAGTACAATCGTCGGTATCTGTGCAAATTGAGTTCAAAAGACAAGGAGTCGTATTAAAACAATGATCAAACTAATCTCCATGTTGACATACTTATATTTATTTCACAGATAACAGGTCGATCTAGTCAAAACTGGTAACTTAAATAAGACTAATGACAATGAAGAATAGAGTTACTTCATTTGTAAAACTATCGATAAATAAATCTATCAAAGTAAAAGGGAGTGAAAAACTCTTGTAATGTTTGAATCTTTTCCAAAATCGTGGCCTATGAAAAAAACTTATTTCTTGAAAAATATCATAAACTCATCAATATTAATGGGCACCTGACCGATGAAAAAGATCAGAAAGCAGTTGATTTTCAATTTCTGCTGAAACCAATGTGATAATGAATGAGAGTTTACATATACATGGTGTGCGTCTCAATACACCTTAGCGCTAAAATTGAATTCGCTATCATCTCAATGAAATATGTCAGTCTAAATGTATCCTAAAACAGTTCTTTATTAATAGAGATCGCTGTACTTTCACGTCCATGGTGACTCTCAGGTAAGAGAAACATCCAAAATTTCCCTAACAGTCACTAGAATTTTTTTTTTTTATGTTTCCTTGTTTGCTTTGTACCTAAAATTTCTCGATGAGCAACGAGTAAGAACCTCATTGAATTTTGCTTTACATTATCAGTGCATATATGTGGGTATGTAAACTGCTTAGAATTTAAAGCTTACTTGTTTCACAGGTAGTCCCTTCGTAGCCAGGATCACAATCGCACGTAAAGCTGTTAACTCCATCATTACAAGTTCCTGTACTCGCGCAAGAAGTAGTAGTACAATCGTCGGTATCTGTGCAAATTGAGTTCAAAAGACAAGGAGTCGTATTAAAACAATGATCAAACTAATCTCCATGTTGACATACTTATATTTATTTCACAGATAACAGGTCGATCTAGTCAAAACTGGTAACTTAAATAAGACTAATTACAATGAAGAATAGAGTTACTTCATTTGTAAAACTATCGATAAATAAATCTATCAAAGTAAAAGGGACTGAAAAACTCTTGTAATGTTTGAATCTTTTTCAAAATCGTGGCCTATGAAAAAAACTAATTTCTTGAAAAATATCATTAACTCATCAATATTAATGGGCACCTGACCGATGAAAAAGATCAGAAAGCAAGTGATTTTCAATTTCTGCTGAAACCTATGTGATAATGAATGAGAGTTTACATATACATGGTGTGCGTCTCAATACACCTTAGCGCCAAGATTGGATTCACTATGATCTCAATGAAATATCTCAGTCTACATGTATCCTAAAACAGTTCTTTAGTAATAGAGATCGCTGTCCTTTTACGTCTGGTGACTCTCGGGTAAGAGAAACATCCAAAATTTCCCTAACAGTCACTAGAAATTTCTTTTTTTATGTTTTCTTGTTTGCTCTGTACCTAAAATTTCTTGATGAGCAACGAGTAAGAATTTCATTGGATTTTGTTTTTACATCATCAGTGTATATATGGTGGCCCTGAAGGGACATCGCGAATAGACTAAATCGTGAAAAATATGCGATAAAATTCACGATATCGTCAATTTTATCGCATATTTTTCACGAAGAAATTCACGAAATTGACGATATCGTGAACTTTATCGTGAACTTTTCACGATGAAATTGACGATATCGTCAATTTTATCGTGTACTCTATCGTGTACTCTATTGTGTACTCTCCTGACGGGCGCTTCGTAAACAAAACCAGCCCTAGCTGGGGGAGACAGAGAGAAGGAAAAAAGGGAAAGGGAAAGAGAAGATAAAAGGAAAGAAAGAATAATAAGAAGAAAAGAGGGAAACGGGGGGGGGGCGAAGGGCTCTTGCCTCCTCCTCACTCCCCCCCCCCCCCCGCCAAAAAATAAATAAGGAGAGAGAGAAGGGAAAGGGAAAGGGAAAGAAAATATAAAAGGAAAGAAAGAAGAGGAAGAAGGAAAGAGGGAAACGGGGGAAGGGCGAAAGGCTCTTACCTCCCCCCCCCCCCGCCAAAAAAATAAATAAGAGAGAGAGAGAGAGAGAAGGAAAAAGGAAAGAAAGAAGAGGAATAAGAGGGAAACAGGGGAAGGGCGAATGGCTCTTGCCTCCTCCCCCCCCCCCCCCCGCCAAAAATAAATAAGAGAGATAAGGGAAAGGGAAAGAAAATATAAAAGGAAAGAAAGAAGAGGAATAAGAAGGAAAGAGGGAAACGGGGGAAGAGCGAAGGGCTCTTGCCTCCTCCCTCCCCACCCCCCGCCAAAAAAATAAATAAGAGATATAGAGAGAAGGGAAAGGGAAAGGGAAAGAGAAGACAAAAGGAAAGAAAGAAGAGGAAGAAGAAGAAGAAAAGAGGGAAACGGGGGCGAAGGGCTCTTGCATCACCCGCCCAAAAAATAAATAAGAGAGAGAGAGAGAGAGAGAAGGGAAAGGGAAAGAGAATAAAAAAGGAAAGGAAGAAGAATAAGAAGAAAAGAGGGGCTCTTGCCTCCTTCCCCCCCCCCCTCCCGCGCCAACAAATAAATAGGAGAGAGAGAGAGAGATAGAGAGAAGGGAAAGGGAAAGGGAAAGAAAATATAAAAGGAAAGAAAGAAGAAGAAGACGGAAAGAGGGAAACGGGGGAAGGGCGAAAGGCTCTTACCTCCCCCCCCCCCCCCGCCAAAAAAATAAGTAAGAGAGAGAGAGAGAGAAGGGAAAAGGAAAGAAAGAAGAGGAATAAGCGGGAAACAGGGGAAGGGCGAAGGGCTCTTGCCTCCTCTCCCCCCGCCCCGCCAAAAATAAATAAGAGAGAGAAGGGAAAGTGAAAGAAAATATAAAAGGAAAGAAAGAAGAGGAATAAGAAGGAAAGAGGGAAACGGGGGAAGGGCGAAGGGCTCTTGCCTCCTCCCTCCCCACCCCCCGCCAAAAAAATAAATAAGAGATAGAGAGAGAAGGGAAAGGGAAAGGGAAAGAGAAGATAAAAGGAAAGAAAGAAGAGGAAGAAAAGAAGAAAAGAAGGAAACGGGGGCGAAGGGCTCTTGCATCCCCCCGCCCAAAAAATAAATAAGAGAGAGAGAGAGAAGGGAAAGGGAAAGAGAATAAAAAAGGAAAGGAAGAAGAATAAGAAGAAAAGAGGGGCTCTTGCCTCCTTCCCCCTCCCCCCCTCCCGCGCCAACAAATAAATAGGAGAGAGAGAGAGAGATAGAGAGAAGGGAAAGGGAAAGGGAAAGAAAATATAAAAGGAAAGAAAGAAGAAGAAGACGGAAAGAGGGAAACGGGGGAAGGGCGAAAGGCTCTTACCTCCCCCTCCCCCCTCCCGCCATAAAGGGAAAGAGAAGGGAGAGGGAAAGAAAATATAAAAGGAAAGAAAGAAGAGGAAAAAGAATAGGAAAAGAGGGAAACAGGGGCGAAGGGCTCTTGCCTCCTTTCTTTTCTTTCCTATTCTCCCTCTTTTTCTTTTTTCTCTTCTTTCTTCTCTTTCCCTTTCCTTCTCTCTCTCTCTCTCTTATTTATTTTTTGGCGGGGGGCGGGGGGACGAGGCAAAAGCCCTTTGCCCCCGTTTCCCTCTTTTCTTCTTCTTCCTCTTCTTTCTTTCCTTTTATCTTCTCTTTCCCTTTCCCTTCTCTCTCTCTCTCTGATTTATTTTTTGGCGGGGGGGGGAGGGGGGGGGGGGGCAAGAGTCCTTCGCCCTTCCCCCGTTTTCCTCTTTTCTTCTTCTTCCTCCTCTTTCTTTCCTTTTATCTTCTCTTTCCCTTTCCCTTTCCCTTCTCTCTCTCTCTCTGATTTATTTTTTGGCGGGGAGGGGGGGGGGGGGAGTGAGGAGGAGGCAAGAGCCCTTCGCCCCCCCCCCCCCCGTTTCCCTCTTTTCTTCTTATTATTCTTTCTTTCCTTTTATCTTCTCTTTCCCTTTCCCTTTTTTCCTTCTCTCTGTCTCCCCCAGCTAGGGCTGGTTTTGTTTACGAAGCGCCCGTCAGGAGAGTACACGATAGAGTACACGATAGAGTACACGATAAAATTGACGATATCGTCAATTTCATCGTGAAAAGTTCACGATAAAGTTCACGATATCGTCAATTTCGTGAATTTCTTCGTAAAAAATATGCGATAAAATTGACGATATCGTGAATTTTATCGCATATTTTTCACGATTTAGTCTATTCGCGATGTCCCTTCAGGGCCACCATACATATATGTGGGTATGTAATCTGTTTAGAATTTAAATCTTACTTGTTTCACAGGTAGTCCCTTCGTAGCCAGCATCACAATCGCACGTAAAGGTGTTAACTCCATCAATACAAGTTCCTGTACTCGCGCAAGAAGTGGTAGTACAATCGTCGATATCTTTGCACGGAAAAATTGATTCGAAAAAATGTCACCATCCATTGCTAATTTAAAAAGTTAAATGTCTAGTTAAGATTAAATCGTTATCATTAATAAAACAGTTTATTTTACTGTAACAGAAATGGATTTTAATTTTAAGGTGTGTTTTTGATTTCGTGATCATGCACTACTCGTATTAAAGTCAGAGCATCATGGATCAAAACAAGTTTAAAGATTTCTCTACAAGGTGGCACCAAATTAATAATACATCCTCACCAGTGCAAGAAATGTCATCGGTGCCTAGTAGAGTGCATTGAACAAAGACAGTCACACACGCGCACACGCACACACACACACGCACACACAATACACACAGCACACATGGTGACAATTGTTTCATAATTAACCGGGTTTTTTTTATTGTGTATTGATTTTTATCAAGATAGCTGAATATTTAAGTGGCATAATCCTAAAAACCTTTTTCTCTTTTGTTCACCTACACTACCACCATCATGTCATCATCATCAGCATTACGTTTTTACGCGTTTTTTACAAACCTGGTTTGTAAAAACGCGTCGAAACGCGTCCTATGACGCACGAAAACCAAGGTTTGTCGACAAACATCCTTTGTGAATTCGGGCCTAAGTGTCTGTTCTTGCCTTTAAAGACGAGGGCAGACTCTTTTGACGAGCGAGGCCCTGGGTTTATGCAAAGTCCGACCTCCGCTCGGGGTCAGTCTAGGGTTACACGCGACTGAGTGTCTGTCCTTGCCGTTACGTAAGACAATGACATACTCCCTAGACGAAGGTGGCCCTGGGCTAGTAGAAATTCCAGAATTGCTCGAGGACGAAAAAACAGCGTTAACGGAGGACGCGCAGGCTCTGCCGAAAAACATTTTGTAAATTAGTTTGACTTGCACAGGCAACAATATATCCCGAAATACTAATGAACTATGCGCATGATACAGACATATCTAAAGTCTTACAATATGTTAAATGAGATAATTAAAAGTAACTGAATATCTTTTTTGATTTTCTTATTTTTTCCAAAACCTTCACCTTAGATAGCAAAAATATTCTTCATTAAATGTATTTTCTGAATGAAGTTTCATGTGCTCCTGCAAGAAATAAAGGGAAAGGAAAGCAAAATTTTCATTTCTAGATCACAAATCATCAAATGGACGTTTTTCACAATATGAATGCATGCTTTTAAATGAAAATGCACTCCTATTATCCACATGTCTACTCGGAATCAAAAGAAGATGAGTTACTGCTCCAATTGATGGGGGAGGGGGCAAGTTTACAAAGCCAACCCTGGACCTGTTTTTAATTGCGGGTACATACCTGCCAAATGTTCCCATTTAATAGAAACATTCATGTTGGGGGAAAAGAAAAGAACATTTTCACCTTTGTATTCCTACATTATCAGATGCCTAATTTCTTATCCAAGTCATATTTTACTTATTCTTTGATCTTTTATGATTGAATTCATCTTCAACAGACTGTTAATAGTTTGACATTTTTGATATTTCATATAACATTTCCCAAACAATATTATCATAAAATATTAAAAATAATTCCTCTTTATACTACTTGTATATGTATTGAAGAATTTTTTAAATTTTTTTTTATTTCATTGTACAACACATTTTACCCTATGATATATTTAGAGTATGATCTCAGGTCAATACATGTATGATTTATATAATGAAATAGAATAATACAATATATTCAGAATAAAATATATTAAAAATAATAAATTTAAAATAAAATTAATTCAAATTATATTATTCAATGATTACCTTGCCCTTGGTCTGATATGAAACCGTGCCATCATTTGACTTAGTAAGTTTTTCCTTCAGGATGCTCTTTCCAAGGGCCTCATTTTGGGCTGAGGAGAGATCTTCTGTTGTGATTGTATCCGTTTGTTTTGAGTAGGTGTGATCATGTTTTTCATGGATGCAAGTGTGTTGTGTCGCGTTACTGTATGTGAGTTTTTTTATTACAAATTGTACATGAGATGATGGTTGAGTGTAATGTGGTGAGGTGATAATTTTTCACAAGAGTGACTGATGTATAGTGGAGTGGTGTACGACAGATAACACATGGAACACTAACACGATTTGCACTGACAAACAACTCATGTACACAACTCAAACAAAAAACATGTTCGCAAGTACTCACACAAGGGTTTACGAGTACACTACCGCATAGTTTACACAACATGAATTCTTCTGTGGGCATGAACTTAAACATTGAATACTCGGGGTAACTAGAAGAAAGTGCTGAGAAATGAGAGGTCATTGAGTGAGATGGGGTGGGTACTGGGGGTCTTCCACTTCTTCTTTTTTAGGGGGCCTGCCACCCTTGGACAAAGCAAAATTGAGTTTGCAAGTAGTACAAGACTCCTCAGTGCGTTTATGTCTCACCGAGTCATTTTTTGGCACTAATGGGTGAGACATTTGGCGCTTATTGGCATTGAAGAGCCTTGAGTAGCAGCGGAGACAAAATTGCTTTGGATGTACGAGGGGGTCATCATGTGAAAAATCATAATTAAATTTCTCCCACAACTGCAAATGATCTGAAATAAAAATATAAAAAAAGGCTGCTGAGAAATCCTAGCTCCTCAAAGTCTGCATACTTGGAGGAGAGCATCCCTGTCTGTCAAGACCACTCATGAATCACATTACACTATACAAGTACAACAACAATAACACGCACGTCACAATGACATACACAACAGGACGCCCAATTGCGCACATACGGTATGTAAACAAAGAGTGACCCTATTTTGATTGGAAAATTAAGTTGATCAAAAAAAAATTACAGCAATAAACCAAAATAATAACCCGAGTATTCAGTATTTCAAGAAAGCAAAAATCACCAATAGATAGTACAGAAAAACTTCAACAAACGTTTAACAGAGGTTTCTGATAATGATAATGAATGGGATAATAATTTGTGTACTTAAATTACTGTTGTCATCTCTCCCTTCGTACATGAACGGGACGTCAGACGTATGAAGGGATTTGTATGAATTTATGCTTGCTTGGACCTGGGACGTTCCTGGGAGAACTTCTATTTATGCATATTCATCGTTTGCCTAAACTTTTAGGCAATCATTTACTTGTTTTAAACTTTTTCCTTTGATGATGTCAGCTCATCACAGCGTGCCTAGCAACTTCAAATCTATTTTACGTCCCGCCACGAAGTGCGCCACGCACGTGCAAAGAGTGACAATGTAAACAATGGCGCAGAGCGCTAACTGTTCGTTGGCCTATGGACTAATTTGACTTCACATCCTTGAGTAGACTACCAGATCTAAATTGACTTCACATCCTTACCATTGCAAGCAGTGCTATCATCGTTTAATTCATATCCAGAGTCACACGGGCTACAGCTGTAAGAGCCAGGTGTGTTCGAACACATTCCATTTGCACAGAGCGTTGTATCCACCACGCACTCGTCAATATCTAAGAAAAGTAAACATTTGTTTTCACCCATAGCATGCAGTCAAGAGTTTTCTAAAGTTCTAATTGAATCAGCTTTTCATCTTAAATTGACACCAATTATTTTTTTCTCCATGCACTCTAGAATGTAGACTAGATCAAGATCTATAGAGGTAAAAAAGTAAAATGAATATCAAATGAAATCGTGAACGAATGCTACGAAAAGTCAACAAGAAATTGCCAATTTGTAAACAAAAATAGTGATTAGTCTTTACATTTTACTCTCCATTGCTAATTTAGAAAGTTAAATGTCCATTTCTGATTTAATAGTTTTCATTAAAGGCAGAGTGTACTTTAACAGAAGTGGATTTAAATTTCCTACTGACTTTTGGACTAAGATCATTCAGAGCATTCTGGATCAAAAGACTGTTAAAGATGCCACTAAAAAGTAAAATTTGACACTACTGAGTTAGACTACTAAATCTTATTTGACTTCACATCCTTACCATTGCAAGCAGTGCCATCATTAATTTATACATAACCAGAATTACAGGGGATACAGGTGTAAGAGCCATCTGTGTTCGAACACACTCTATTTGCAAAATTCTTTCATTTCGGGATGACAAATCAGCCTATGGGTTGTTTTACTTTGAAGACACTTTCGGTCGAACAGTTAAATCTTTACGATAAAGATGAAATATGCTACTCTAATCTTACCATAAAACATGTCTTAATAAATAGAGATCATTATGTGAATCACATTATTAATGCTATTCTTTTAATGACCATACACTCCTATCAATCATGTGTCTACTCGAAATCAAGATAAGTGTAGTTTCTGCTCCTAAATGTTAATAAACACTCTTAAGAAATTAAAAAATTGTTCAAATATATTTTTCTACAATTAATAACTGTTTTTAATTTGTATTTCTTTGTTCAACCTTTATTTATAATTTTGAGTTGAGCAAAAAGTGTACGTATTTTTGAGTTGAGCAAAAAGTGTACGTATGTTGGATATGATTCGAGTTAAAGCTTTACCTGTTCCACACAGGGTCCCAGTATAGCCATCAACACAGGCACAAGTAAACGAGTTTACATTATCAATGCATGTTCCTTCATGCATACAAGGAGTGCTATGACATTCGTCGATATCTGTGCAAAATGAGTTTTGAAGACAACGAATGGGATAACAGTGATGAGAAAATAATTTCCAGTTTGATATTCGTTTTATTTATTTGTCCAGATAATAGGAAAATAAAGTATCAACTGGTATTTAAAATGCAATGCAATCACAGTTCAGAAATGAATTAATTTGTAAAACTATTGAAAAAAAGTCTAATGAGGTAAGTGTCTACTCAGAATCAAAAGAACAAGACTTGTCTGTACTTTTACTTCTGTTGATTCTGATGTTTGGAAAACATTATATTATTTGTGTATCTAATGATATTATGTTTCTTTCTTTTTATCGGCGTGTTTGTCTCCGTATATC